TTATCATATATAATCAATTAGTTATATAAAATATATATTTATATTTATATTTACCAAAATACACATTTATTTGCGCAGATAAAGATGGAGTAGTTTCCATACAAATATGTTTTTTTTGTAATATAAAAGTATTATATTTATCTATATTTATGATCATATGCGTATTTACCTTTGAATTCCATAAAAACTATCTTTATAGCAAAATCTTCTTTCTTTTAAAGCAGCTCTAGTTCATTTGCAAAATTTTACACCCTACATCCAGAAAATTTTATTTTTATTATAATAATAAAGTTATAGTTAATAATACAATAATACACAAGAATATTAATATTAAAATCACAAATGACAAATTTAAAACCTTGACAGCATAGTGGACATTCGTATTGTCACTTGTGACGTTATTGTAGCAACATCAGTTTCTGCTCTGATGAAAATTTATAAAATTCCAACAAATTCGTGAAGGTAGCACAACAAATTTCAAATGATATACGTCGTCAATAAAATTTATTTTATACAGGAATTTCATAACCCTTTATTTATTCGTCTCTTCATTGTCAATATATAATATAGTATTGGCGTTACTTATTACAAGTGTCGCATGTATTATGAATCGAATATCTAAAATTGTGTGTATTAGTATTAGCAATTATAAATGGTATTTGTATTGTGATTCAATTACATCGAATAATTAACAAGAGCCATCACGGTTGTTGTTCGGATGTTTATAATGGACTCCCTTAATTTCTCGAATTTTTAATTTTTACATGAGCGAGTATTACAAAATATTTCCACATGCCATACTCGAACAAGTAAATAATGCATATTTCCTTCGGTCACAGAAAGTTAAAGCAAGCAATCAACGCATGTTTATTGTGAGGATGATTGGAAAGTTATGTTTGAAGGAACGCTTGGTATAATGTTTGTGTAATTTTGACTAATTTGTGTCTTTTTCTTTGGATATCGATTTTCTCACTGTCATATCCTTCTTAGCCACACAATCTCGTTTGCATGTCATTCACCGATGAATAGATGCACAACATCCACAATATTTCAACATATATTTCAAATCTAGCAATTCAATATTAAACCTTACAATAATATATTCTACCCGAATCTTACCATCACTCAAAATATGGCGAAGATTGTGATTTAAGTTTATTGAATAAATTGTACATATTTTCATTGGCTGTTTAAATTAATAATGGTTTAAATAATTAAAAAAAAAAGTTTTCAGAATACCAGTGACTGAGTCATCAAATTCAATTATCTTATCAAGTTTTATTGAACGTAGAATTGCGAAAGATTTAATTAATGTTATAAAAAGTTTTCATAATACCAGTGACTGAGTCATCAAATTCAATTATCTTATCAAGTTTTATTGAACGTGAAATTGCGAAAGATTTAATTAATGTTATAAAAATAATAAATATCAAGTTTTTTTTCATTCGTTTTATTGGTAATAACAAAGAGAAAAAATTCCCATTCAAAGACTTTTTTCAAATTGTTTGAGAAAAAAGAGAGAGAATTTATATATATAATAGGAATAAATATCACCCTGGATTTTTACAGGATATAAAAATGCAAAGGATGGAGTTAATTCATTATATTTAAAGAAAAATTTTTTTCAAGCACGTTTGGGATACTTTAAACCAGTGTTGGCAAATTACGCGAGGTAAATTGTCAAGTCCTAAACCGTTAATAAAATAATATATATACATAGATGAACTTATTTAAAAAATTCCATCAAGTGGTTTTTTTTGTTTAGAATAATACTTTATAAAAAAATCATCTTTTAACTATTTGCGTTTTCCAATATTACTAATGTGTATATTATGTTATAAAGAAATTAAATAAATCAAAAAGTAAAAAGTAAACCATGATTAATATTATTTTGGCATTTTTTTCTATGGAAGTTACACTATAAAGACGGAATCTTTTAATTCGTTGACTTCCTTCACTTTTTAAATAGATAGCAAAATAATATTAGATCTACGAACAGGTTTAGGTGCAGCAAAATTGGATTTTGAAATCAAAATGATAAAACTTATATATTCAAATGATGATAAGGTATGTATAATATATATATTAATCTCTCA